CCTCCCTTTAATCATTGTTCTTCTAGAATTTCTAGATCACTTGACTGCTATGGTTTTCTTTCCAACCATAGCTCCTTTTCTGATGTGTTATCCTCTACAAATATACTTGTCATATCAGCAGGCTGTTACTTATCCTCATTGGCAAGAGGCCATGGCAATGAGATTTCTTCTATCTTGAGAATGATATATGGGAAATTAGTTCCTCCTCCTGATGCTTCTATCATTGGAAGCTGGTGTGTTTATTCAATGAAGTTAAAGTTTGATAGTAGCCTTGATAGATATAAGGCTAGATTGGTTGCTCAAGGTTACAAACAAGAGTATGGGATTGACTATTAGGGGACGTTTATAGCTAAGATGACCATAGTTCGTCTTCTCATTGCCACTTCTGCGATAAAAGTTGGGCAATTCATCAGATGGATGTGAAAAATGCCTTCTTGCATGAGGATCTGAAAGAGACAATGTATATGAAGCCTCCTCCTGGATACTATTCAAGAAGTGTATATGAAGCACCTTGAGCATAGTTTGAGAGATTCAGATCAATTATTATTGATGCCGTTTTCACCCAAAATTCCTTAGACTACTCTTTCTTCACCTCACATCGTCCTTAGGGGATTACTCCCTTGTTACTATATATCGATGATATTCTTATAACTGGAGATGATCAAGATGGCATTTCGTCATTTGAAGCAACTTCTTAGTCAATCCTTCAAGATGAAGGATCTTGGTCCTATTGGTCCTATTACTTGCTTTTTGAGATTCAAAGCTCATCTTAACTCTCGTGGCTACTTTGTCTATCAACAAAAGTATGCTACTGATTTGGTTATGCTTGTTCACCTCACAGACTCCAAATTGGTTGATACTTTAAAGATAAATTTGAAGCTTAGTAAAGATGATGGTCCATTCCTTGAAACAGACTCCAAATTGGTTGATACTCTAAAGATAAATTTGAAGCTTAGTAGTAAAGATGATGGTCCACTCCTTGAAGATGCCACCCTCTACCATCAACTTGTGGGCAATCTTATTTACCTCTCCATGATACATCTAAATATATCTTATGTTGGTTAGATTGTTAGCTAGCTTGTTTCCTCTCCTCGACAGCCACATGTGAATGTTGTGCCTTGTATTATTCGCTATGTTAGGGGGACTTTGTTTCATGGTCTTTTCTTCCCCTCTATATCATTTCTTTAGTTGTCGGCATATGTAGATGCTGACTGAGTTGTCTGTCTAGATACTTGAAGGTCTACTACTGGATAGTGTATTTTTTTGGGTAACTCCCTTATTTTCTATTAGTGTAAGAAACAACAAATAGTCTCTAAGTCTTCTACTGAAGCAGAATGCCAAGCCATGTCTTTTGCTTGCAATGAAATCATTTGGCTCAAGTTTTTTATGCATGGCCTTTGCCTTGATCAAATATCTCTTGTTCCTTTATTGGATGACAATCTCAGTGCTATCAAGATAGCATCTAATCTATTTTCCATGAGCAAATGAAGCATATTGAAGTGGATTGACACTTTATTAGGGATCTCCTTATTGTGGGATCCATCTGACTCCCTCATGTTCACAATTCTATTACAAGAGCTAGACATACTTTTCTTATGGGCAAACTAATGCTAGCACCCTTGCATCAGTTTCTTGTACATCTTCTTTCTATTGTTTTATCCTTGTGCCTTTACTCTTTGTATATTAAGGGAAAAAGTGTCCTTCTATTTCATTAATATAAATACTCCTTTGGTGTGGTTGACCCATTAGACACACCACCAAACTGTTTGCTTCTCTTGTTTGAACTGCACTGACAAAAATTACAGATTAGCCCTCTATTAGTATAAAATATTGATAAATCAAAAGTGCCCTTAGATTGTACTCTCATGTAGCTAACCCTGGCAAATCTCTGATTGTGAGAAGACCTCAAAGATTTTGTCCCTCATTCTCTCTTTTATTTAGGCTTTGCTTTATTTTTGTAAAGCCTCAACTAACCACATCATAGTGGTTGCTTAAAGCAATTTGTATGCATATGACAATATAAACGTAAATCTAATACTATTTTGGAAGTTAGAGATAAAAACCAACAAAACAAAATTATAAAAATAATTGTGCTTAAACTAGGTGGACTAGTTATTAGATGACCTGATCAATTCTTAGCCATCCCAGTTGTGTAACTATGGACAACTAGTCAATTATGCAATTTTTATGGTACTGGCACTCAACTGACTGGTTGGTTGAGTATTCATTGCTGATAACATTGGAAGGTAATGCACTTGTATTTATTTATTTATTTTTTATGGATGTGATGCACTTGTATTTGGTTAATGTACAAATATATTGTACACTTCCATGTTGAATTTGGAGGTACATTTACATATATCACTCATTGATCCATTTAATCTACTGATTCATGAGAGGCATTATATTTCCATTTAAAGAGTGTTTAGATATCACTTACATTTTCATTGGATCAGAAGAAAGGTAATAGTTGAGTAAGACCTTTGAAAGAGAAAGGAAATGTTGGGATAAATTGCATGGTGATGCATAATCTGGGAAAAGGCAAAATAGGATTTGTGCAGTTCAATCCAAGTAATTAGGACATTGTTTGGTTGATGATGATAGACCCTTGAATAATATGTATAATGAGTAATTACACAATTACACTTGCGTATTCTTAGCATGATTGGGCGGCCTGTTCAAAGTGCGGGCTGTGCCGTGCTAGCCCACAGGCCATCACGGGCCATGCCGCCCTCCCCGGTGAAAATTCTATGGGTAGGTCTGGCACGCCCCACGGCCCAGGCCTGTGCGGGCCCGTGCCGCAGGCTTGGGCCGAGACGGGTTGGAGGCCATGTCGTGGGCTTGGTCCGTGCCGGGCTGGGCCACAGGGCGGGCCTTGGGCCTGGGCTGAACCGAGCTAGACTTAATGGATTACAATTACCCAAAAAATAAATAAATAAAACAATTCAAATAGGAATTTTATTTCATTTAAATTTGAATGATACAAATTACAAAGCATATAAATATTGAAATATACAATGGTTGGATACTTCATAGTTGGATGAATGAAATATGAAAATGGAATAAATTAATAAAATATAAAAAATACAATATAGTTACAAATTGAAAATACAAAATTACATTAATAGCAAATAAATTAAATAAAATTAAAACAAAAATAAAAAATTCTATACAACTAGTCAACTATTGTTTATGAATCATGACTTTCATCATCTGCTTCAGGTGAAATATCCGGTGTATGTAGTAGTATCATGCCCTCATTTGTCTTGTAATTGTAAAGTTGTAATCTATCTTTTGCATGACTACATCTAGCCAACCCTGGTACAGTGGTACTTGCACTAAAACAAGACTCCGATGGAACTATAGCCTCTAAACACTAGAGGGGTTAGTAGATCACGGATCACGTGCCATGGCGGCGAGAACTGGATAATTTTTTGTATGTTCACTCAATCACTCCACCAGGCTAAAATATCAAAATTATTTATTCCCTCACCTAAACTAGAAATATTTGCTTGTAAATAAATTAAGTTCAGTAAATGAACTTGTTGTAGAAGTAGCAGATTTCTGCCTTCTACTTATTATTTCTTACTGCTTCAGATAATCATATTCACAATATGTTTCAAGTGAAGTATCAAAACTATCTTTCCAAATCTTAGGATCTAACATTGTAACTAAGCAATAAAGGGGAGAAATGTTCTCCCAATATTTTTAAAATTTATTTTCCATTATTTCAACAATTCATTTAAGTTGTAGGTTATTTCTTCTTCCTTCTCATGTGTGAGAAAATGTCTACTCAAATGGCCAGTACCACCCTTGCTACAATAGCTAAAGTCTTTTCTACATTTTTGGCAAACTGCACTTTTCCCTTTCCCTTCAACATCCTCTATTTTAAATATTTTCCAAATCGGGCTACTAAACTTGGGGTTTTGGAAAGAGTCGACCATTTTTTTTTTAAATTCTAAAAAAATAAAATTAATTTAATTGGACTTACCCTGAATTGCCGGTTCAGAATCCCAACTTGATTTCAACGGTTAAAGCCTTTCAACGTCCAAGGCTCCAAGCCTCCCAAATTTCTATCTTGGAGAATCAGACAATCAACCAACCAGATTATCAGAGTTCACTCAGATTGCAAAGAATACATGAGAGAGAGGGAAGAGATTAAGAGAATTGTTGAATGCTGATTGTTGAATTGGTGTGATGAGAAAAATGGTGGAGGATAGGGCTATTTATAGGAATTGAAAATAATTCAGTTACCCAAAATACCCTAAAAACTAACTGCTTTTTAGTTGTTGGGAGGGGTATTTTGGTCATTGTAAGGTCATTTATAACTTTACCCAAAAAGCCCCGCTAAAATAGTTGTTGTATAGTTGTTGGGTGGCATTTGTGTCATTTTTCTCCCCTCCATAAGCAAAATACATAAATACCCCCCTATATAGCTGTTTATAGCGGTTAGGGGGTATTTATGTAAAAATCTCCAAAAAGCTGAATCTAGCCATTGGGGGGACTTGGGGGAGGGGCCCAACAGCTAGTTTTCGGATGGGCCGAGCGCAACCCGTTATGGGCCCTATAGGCCGTGCCATGCCGGCTTGTGCTGCGGGCCGCGCCGGCACGTGGGCCACGGGCGGCACGGCTCGAACAGTTGTGCCGTTCCGTGCCGGCCCGTGGACTACAAACCCCCGGCAGCATGACACGTACCATCGTGTTGGGCTTAGCTAGGGATTAGGGCACTTAGATATTGTTATTCTTCAGTGGATTTGCAAGTCATTTATGATAAAAGAAAATTAACAGAACCGTCAAATTATTTTATGCTGAAACCATAAGTCATTAAACTCAATGAGTTCCAAAATGTCTGAGTAGGGATTTTTCCTTTGGAGTGGGGAGTAATGTGGGAGAGTACCATGTCTTCTAATTGTATCAATGAAGATTATTGTCTATGACTTATTGTCTGATCACCATTCTATGTTATTAGTGTGATGATGCTATGAATATATACTTGTCAGGTTCGATCTGGAAGCTGTTTTAATTGCAGCCTTTGATGCTATTTTTCCTTCAAAGAATGCTGAAACTGGATTGAGTTCACAACAGTACATCATCCGTGTATTTCTTAATACTGCAAAATTTTCGAAGCAAGTTGAAGGATCTGCTGAGAATAGTATGTCCTTTGAAGATTTCAAAAGTTGGTGTAGCTTTATTCCATCAGTGAGGAAGTTTCTTGGAAACTTGTTGATGCCACCTGATCCAGGTTATCTGTTTTATAAAGTTCATTTTAAACTATTGCTAGTCATTTTAAGTTTGTTGTTTAGGTTAAGTGATTGCTATTTCAAGCTGAAAAAAGATCAGGGCTTTTCATTGATATACATACATACATACATACATATATATATATATATATATGTATATATATAGAAATATCATCATCATCATCATCATCATCACCATCCATGCCTTATCCCAACTATATGGACTCAGCAACATGAATCCTATTTTCACCATCTGTTCTATTTAAAGCCACATCCACTGTTAAATTATTAGTGCTTAAATCATTCCTTCTACTTCTACCCATGTTCTTTTTGGTCTACCCCGAGCTCTTCTAGCCCCTTCAATGTCTAACAAATCACTTCTAACTGGATTGAATTTTTCACAAATTTTTAGATGCACTTCCTTTCTTGGATGGAAAATTTCATTTAGCTCATCTTTTTCTGGTTATTTGGTGCTAAATCATGAAATCAACTTTGATGGGCTTTGCCTGTTCTATAACTGGTTCTTCTTGTGTAGGGAGACTGGGTTTTCAAGTTCCTTCCCTGTTGCATTCAGAAAGTGTAGATTCTAACTTGCTAATTCTAAGGAAAGAATATGCTTGGCATATAGGAGGGGCCCTTGCTCAAAATGAACTGGAGGAATGGAAACTTCTATACCATAGTTCTATTGATGGATTTAGCTTCTACACATTCTTAGGAAAAATATCGTGAGTATCTATGCATTAATTTTATTGATTCTCTTAATTGTTCCTCTTTTTTTTGCAAATCTTCTTCAACTCATATAGCTTGTGATCTTCAGTTTGTAGAAGTATGATAAAAAAGAATCATAATATTCCATGTCATTGTCTTGAAACGAAAACCATTGTCAATTCAACTCATGCCAAGGAGCTCTCTCTCTCTCTCTCTCTCTCTCTCTCTCTCTATCTATCTATCTATCTCTCTATATACTTTCTGTTCATCATCATCATCATCATCATCCAAGCCTTCCCCAACTATATGGGGTTGGCTACATGAATCCTGTTTTGCCTGTTCTGTTTAACGCCATATCCATTGTTAAATTATTGGTGCTTAAATAACTTCTTACTAATTTTACCCATGTCCGTTTTGGTCTACACCTTGCCCTTCTAGTCCCCTTCACTATATCATTTCTTACTACTACCCATATATCTCTACCTTCTGTTAGCAGATTGAAATCTGTACAACTGGCAGGGGCATGATTCCATCTGCACCTTTAGCATTAGGCTAAAAATTCTATATTTTTGTTTCAGTTTCTCAGTGTTGCAACCTTCTTTTGACTAGAAAGCAATTGAATTGCAGAATTGGAGAAGGGTCAACGGTTCTGATAATCAAGGATAAAGAAGGTTATATATATGGAGGTTATGCATCTCAGCCTTGGGAGAGACATGGTGATTTCTATGGGGATATGAAATCATTTATATTCCAGCTATATCCACAGGCATCCATATTCCGCCCAACTGGAGCAAATGGTAATTTGCAGTGGGTAGGTTTCTAAATCTTGTCACATAATTTTGAAATAGACGTATTCATTATAGTGTACCTTTTTCTTCTTAGGTATGATGGATCCCAGTTGAACCTCACTGTATTATTGATGTCTGTTAAACTAGTAAAATTGAGTTGTCCATTCTGCATCAAGGATTGTGATATTTGAAAATTATGGTTTTCCATGGATGAAATATAGGCAGCCAAATTAGTTGTGCAGTTGCTCGATATCCAATATTGATACCCCCCTCCCAAAAAAAATAAAAGAAAATAAAGAAAATAAAGAAATAAATGAGAAGAAAATAGAAACATACATACAGAAAAACCCATACATTCATGAGAGAGAATAAAGGGAGGATCTTCCAAGTCTCTACTAAAATATTTTGTTTGGTTTGATGCTAGTGAATTTTCATTGCATACTCTTTCAATTATTAAATGGGTTGAGTAATTTTTATCAGAATGTAGAAACCACCAAGTTAACTTGTGGGTTAAGACTGTGATGGCCAACCTTACCTTTTTTTCCTACCTAGCACATATTTACATTGGAGAGTCACCCTCCTTGGCATATATTACTGCATCACTGTACTGGGTATATATATTATAACATTTTATTTGCTTTATTTATCATTAACTGCTTTATGAGAACTTAGTTACTTTTTGTCCATAGTGTGCAGTGAATTTCAGTTCAGAAAGCATCCCCAATGGACTTGGCTTTGGAGGAAGAGTGAATCACTTTGGTCTTTTTCTCTCTGCAAGCTTTGATCAAGGGCATACATTCACGTGTAGTACCTTTGGTAGCCCATGTCTTTCGAAGTCAAACCAAGTATATCCAGAAGTGATAGAATGCTGGGGAGTTGTGATTAAAGGTGTGCAAGAGGAGAAGTCTGACATCAAAGGTACTGTTCTGGAGAGGTTTAAGGAGGACCGTCACATGCTCAACTTGGTGGGGCTTGCAAATTCTAGTGAGTGAATGTGGCGAGTTCTCATCCTCTTTTGAAATGTCAATCTGATGCAATGTCCTTGGTGGTTTGTTATCATGGAAAAAAATCCCTCCACAAAAATTGTAGAAATCTGTGCAATATATATATGAAATACTTTGTTGTACATTAGATATATAGGTTAATGATTCTCTGTGGTCTTGCCATGATTGGTAGCATTTGATTTGGATTTCCGCATCTCCTTTTAAAGGTGATTGCAAAAATAACCTATGTACATTAGGGATTTATATCATTATCTTATATCATATAATGAGCATAACATCTTTATCCAGAGCCAAAAAGCCCCCTAAAACAGAATTAAGGAGCAATCCTATAATTTTTTTAAAGAAAGTATAATTGTATTAATATGAACAATAAGTTTACAGCAGCATGATGTGCTCAAGGACCTCTCTCCTAGTATAACCATATTAATATATTAATCAATGTTTAGGAAATCGGACTGAACCGTCTGGTTGGACCGGTTGAACCATGACCAGGTCCCTGGCTGGTTTGGTCATACCCCATTAATTATTTTTGTTAAAAATCCGGTGAAAACTGGTTGTTTGGCCAGTTTAACTGGAAAACTGGTGAATTGGTCTCAGTTTCATGAAACCACCTAGTCCATTAAATAATTAAACTTTAAAATGCATTTAACAAGACTTGAACTCACGACCTCTTATTTTTATATATTGCTTAATTAGCATTAATTCACCTATTTATTTATGTTAGTTAATGACTCATTATTGTATATATTCACGTATTTTAAAGATTTAAATTAAGAAAAATGTCATATAGTATTTATATGACACATAGTATATATACATATATGCCATATCATCACAGTTTGACCCCAATTGAACCTTTGACCTATGAACCTCTACGTTCCTAGTTCTATGCTTGGTGTGGTTCTTTGAATATTGGTATTAATATGTATTTTTTTACAAAAGGTCTCGCCCTTCTTGGTTGATGAGGTTCCCTTGAAGACTCATGTACTACATTAAGTAAGATATACAATGAGTGTGAAGATTAGATTTATCACGACTCTATTCTACATTCCCAATTAGGGGTGTAAACGGATTGAATTCGAATCAGATTAGGCAATATCCGAATTCGAATCCGATTAAAAATTCGAATATTCGATTCTATTCTAATTCGACTAATTAATTATTATAAGTAATTAATAAGAATATAAAATAAATATTTTATTTATATAAAATATATATAAATATATAAATTATATAAACATTTAAAATTTTTATATATTATATATAAAAATTAAATAATCGATCGAACTCAAATATTTATCGTTTCAAATCAGGTCATATCCGAATTCGAATTCGAATAGCTATTCGATATGAATAGGATATCCGAATTCGATCGGTTAGATATTTGAATTATTCAAATTTGGTTCGATTATATCGAATCTAGAATTCTAAATCAGATTTTCGAATACCGCTGACACCCCTATCCCCAATGAGAGATATACCCCACATAACAATACTTAATTTTGTCATTTGTCAATTGTGTTCTCCTACCTAATTAAATTGTGAGTGGGTATTTTTGGGAAATTCATCGGTATAACATCAGTTAATGGAATTGGACTTTATTGTTGAAATTTGGAACTACAACATAGCTTTTTAGCACAAGTGAAAGTTTGGGCCCATAAGGTCTTGTTCATTTTGTGTTACTCAAGTAAGGCGTTTTCCTAGGCAAGTGAATCATGGGGATATGTTACTTAGGTAATCACAACTACAATATTCAGCTTGGGTAATCAATACTCTTAAGAAAATTATTGCATTCTATGGTACTCATTGGACCATCCAAAGTCCTCATTCTTTTTAATTGCCTTAAAAAATGGTAGGCACCGACCTATCGATTTAGATATAAATCGGTTTAAGGCGATTATCCATCCAATTAGTCTTTGTACTTCTTTTATGTTTTGGGGTGGTCTCATGTCTAGTATGACATTTATTTTGTTTGGGTTGACTTCAATGCCACGCTGGTTCACTATGTAGCCAATGAACTTGCCCAACGTGATTCCAAAAACACTTGTTCGGGTTGAGCTTCATGTTGTACTTTCTTAAAATTTGAAAAACAACAAATATTTAAATCATCAAGTAAAGAATTAGAAAATTGGGTCTTTACGACCATGTCATCAACATAGCATTTGATTTTATTGCCTATTAAAAGATCAAATATCTTATTTACAAGGCGTTGGAAGGTCGCTTTAGCATTTTTCAGTTCGAAGGGCATTACTCTATAACAATATAAGCCTAGTTCGATTACAGAAGCGGTCTTGGTTGGCTATGTCCATCCTAATTTGGTTGTAGTCGGAATAGGCGTCAATGAAGCTCAACAACTCTTATCTCGAGGTTGCGTCTACCAGGCGATCTATTCTAAGGGGGAAGTAGTCCTTCGGGTACGCTCTATTCTAGGAAGGGTTGTCTACTCAGCTCGGAGACTGGACCTCTTTAATGAAATCTACTGTAAGGAGCTTCCCGACTTCCTCATCAACAACCCTCCACCGCTCCGGGACGAGGTTCCTTTTTCTTTGTCTAATTGGCCCGACTAAGGGATCCACATTTAACTTGTGAGTTATGATTCTAGGGTCAATGTCGGGCCTTTCTGTTGCCGACCAAGTAAATACATCTAAATTACCAAGTAAAAAATTTACTAGTTGCGACCAGAGTAGTTCATTTAGGCAAGCACCAATCTGGAGGGTCTTCGTCGGCTCGACATCAGAGACTGGGACCTGGACTGTCTCCTCCATAGGGTCAGCTCGCTCTTTTGTGTGCTTGGGGGATGGCTCTAGTTTGATGCCATCCACCAACTTCACCTTGCCCTTCAGTGTGGCCACATAGCATTTTCGCGACTCTAGCTGGTCGCCCCGTACTACCCATACTCCGTAACTCGTCGGAAACTTCATCGACAAGTAGTAAGTCGACACCACTGCACGTAGAGCATGCAAAATAGGCTGACCTAAGATTGTATTGTAGGGGGACGGAGTCATGACCACCAAGAAGGTATGCTCGAACCGTACTGTGTTGGGCTAGGTCCCTACTTTGACTGGAACCGTGATCCTTCTGAGTGGCTTCACCACATCTCCACTAAACCCGACTAGGGGTGTATCTGGAACCGTGATCTTTCGCTCGAGCTTCAGCTTTTCGAACGTTTACAGGAACAAGATGTCCGTGGAGCTGCCTGAATATTAGATAAATTTTTTAGATGTTTTAAAAAGTTATAATGAGTTTAAAAGAAATGCTGATAAATTTTAGACAAATTTCCTATTTTTCTTTTAAATTTTTGAGCCGATAATTTTGACAGAAAATGTCACATCACATGTATTAAAGTTTTAAAACATTAAAATTATCTAACTCTTATTAAGCATATAGGTGACCCTGAAAACGGATACATATCGGCGATATGTGCAATTTGACCCATAGGCACACCGCACACACATGATTGCCGGGTTGGGTTGTTTCCGTGTTGATGTGACTTCCTACTGGGTTCAGATTGATCTGAATATGTGCAGAACCAGGCCAATGCATGTCACAGGCTAAGGAAATATGAGAAAAATAATTTCTAAAGAGACCTTATGTTGTGTTTGGTTGCAGTTCAATCTTATTTGCAGTAATATAAATATACGAGAGTGCAAATGAAAAAATATAAATTTTTGTTTAATTTTGTTTTAGGTTTTACTTAATTTACTTCATTTGTATTGCAATCAAACAAAAAGATGAAGGAAACTTCTTAAGGCTTTATTTATTTGCAGTGTAAATCTAAACAGGATAATATTTTTGCGTTTAGTCATGCAACTGTTTGTTTGTAACTATGATTTGCATTCTTACTTGATAGAGAATTGTTACCTTATGCTTCATTTGCAGTCCTACCTAATACAAAATTGGTACTTTTTGCTTCATTTGCATCTGATTCTGTTGTGCACCATTTTTCTCCATTAATTCTCTCTCATATGAAGTAGGACGACGACATCTTGTTTCTTACCTACTTTTAAACAAATGACTCTCCTACCTCTATTTTATTTCATACGAGGTAGAAGCCACATCATTTTACTTCTCATAAACAAGTAAGACAAAATCAAATTTAAAGCAAAAGCAAACCATAATTTACACTTAACCTATTCGCACTCTTATGTGTTTATACAAGTGCAAATGAAAGTCGCACTACAAACAAACTGCTCATGTAATTTAACAAAATTTGTTAGGAGGTCTAGGTTGGTGAAAATCTAATATCTAGACCTAAATATAGAGATTTAGGTTTGGATATGAAAGGCCTAGGCCTAGAAAATAAAATATCCAATTATCTTGCTTTTATACAATTCAATGAATGTATAAACCCCGATACTCAAATCGAAGAAAAAAGGGTTTGATTTTGAACGACAATATTTTCTCATAATAAGAGTGGTAATTGATGGCAAGGCACACAAAAGAAACGGCCCTTACTACATCTAAAATGAATTGTGTACAGATGGAAATTAGATTAGGCCATCTTGAACCCAATTTGGCCTAGTTGAAAATGGGGGCTATCCCACCTGAAGGGCTTGGCTTAAGTGGAGCCTTTGTTGTTACTATTGTGGGATTTAACAGTGTGGGTCTTGGCCCATTTATGTTATGCCTTTCTATTTATTGTTGGAATATACTTCTGTAATTAAGTGTTAATGGGTCTGGGCTTGTTTATTTTAAGTTACTAAGTTGTAATCATATGTTTTTAATGTTGCCCAATATAAATATTAGTTTGAAGGGCTGGTTAAAGCACTGCACCCTATTTTAAATCTCTCTTCTTCTCCTCCTCATTCTTCTTTTCTTTTCTTCATGAATCAGAATACAAACATGGTATCAGAGCATTAAGCCAATCTCATTCTGCTTACCCATCTTCTTCTTCACTTCACCTTTCTTCTTAAGTTCTCTTTTTTAATGTTGGAGTAACAAGGAGTTCTACTACTGGTCGTGGTTAGCTAAAGTTTTTATTTTAGGGTTTTGACCTTGGAAAACTCTAAGGAGACCTAGAATAGTTGTGGGTATGCCTAGGTAGGGCAAGAAACTATGGAGTAGTTGTATGCATGGACTATTAGAAAAACCTATTTGACAAGTTTAGCCATTGGACTAGCAATAATATCAGTCCAGGAGAGTAGTTTACAGTCCAGCCAAGCTTGTTTACAAAGTTTCTGTAAAGGGAAGTGATTCTAGACATATTCTACTTGCTAAATATCAGATTTGTGTGAGTTCATAATGTCTTCCAGCATGAGTGA